AGTTTATTAAATTGCCCATAAAAAAGCATATTTACATTTTGTTGTATGTCCAATACTTTAGCTATAATCGGACATCGAATAGGGAATCAAGTATCCTGAGTTCTGGAAACAGTTGCGCAGATATGTTTTACAACTTTTTACAAATCATTAAATTTATTGAAAATTCTTCCAGTATTTCTTATATATGCGAAGTCGTCGCACTCAAGCTTGGTATGAGACACGTTTAAAGGTTTCTCATAAAACTCTCTCTCTCAATAGAACTTTCATCTTCAATGTGAGCAGTTGAGCATTGAGTGTGGATTGGGAGCCTTCAGTGTTCGAACAGGGTCAAGGAAATCGTGGACTCTCCTTCAACTCCACAGTTCGGGAGATTTTTCACATCCACGGAATTTCTGAACTTGCTGATTAATACGAAACGTGGTGTTGCTGAACCGCTGCAGCCGTAGGGGGTAACAATGGTTAGATTCGGCTGACCCTTGTATGCGTATTTTCTGTAGGTCTGATAACGATGTCGGTTTAAATAGCTCTCACTAGCAGGCACGTTATATGCAGAGAACGGCGTTCTCCAGCTTCAGAAATCATTCCGTGGCTCCAACAATTTTAATCATTTTCGCTTACCTTTTTGAAAAAAAAACATGATGTCGTATCATGAAACATTATGTCATTGCTAGAATGCTTTATTGCAAGACGATTCTGTTCATTTTTTTGTGCTTTTACAGCTTTCGGTGTAGTTATAAAAAAGACGGCCTCCTTCTATAACTACGATACGGGGCCTAAACGCGTTCTGACGCATTCAACGTCAGATTACAGCTAAAATATTGGAGATAAAAAAAAATGTAAATACTCTTTTTTATAGGAAATTTAGTAAACTATATTTTTCATGTAGGTAAACTATTTCTTCGTATCAGTAATAGTTGCCGAGACATGGGCAAAAAACTGGAAAAGTGTACCGTTTTTCCAAGATGGCGTCTCGAGAGCAACAGATTTTGACGGGGACTTTTAGTATGTTCAATAGAAAGTCCCAATAAATGTGTATACCAAAATTCAGATCTTTACCGATTAATGTTTTTATTTGTCCAAAATTGCGCTAATTTGACTGGATTAGTGTTGAAAGTGTCTTTTTTCCATGTATCACTTTTAAAACTAGTCGTACAAATAACTATAGCCGTTCTAACACATAATAATTGTGATAGAAGGCAAGTGGGTAGCCAGTTTTTGTCACCGCGGGTGGTGAACTAAGAAGGACGCTCTACGTTAAAAGAATTTTAAATGGATATACATGCACCAAAAAGAGATACCAGTAGGTATAAGTCATGCTTTGGCGCGGTTCGGGAAACGCTCATTGTGTCACTGCATTGCGCTTTTAAACAGACGTTTCCCGAGCCGCGCCAAAGCATGACTTACCTATTGATATCTCTTTTTGGTGCATGTATTTCCATTTAGAATTCCTTTAACGTAGAGCGTCCTTCTTAGTTCACCGCCCGCGGTGACAAAACTGGCTACCCACTTGCCTTCTACCACAATTACTATGTGTTAGAACGGCAAAGATATATAAACTGATGGCGTGCGTTAATTAAGCGCTAATCCGAAATCGAAACTTAGGTACTCATTTTACAGACTATAGTGAATCTCGCTGCAACTAAAATATTCCGAAATAGCTATGTCTAACGTCTGACACGGGGGCTAATCATATACTAAAAACTGTAATTAATCCTAGAAAAGAATCTATAATTCGAATGACTTTACACTAGCAAAAGCAAAATTTTAATCGACTACGACTACGAAATCGGTATGAAAGCATAAGCGTGTTAAAGTTAAATTCAAGATTTAAACAAGCTAATACGAGCAAATTCTTCGGAGTAAATAAACAACGAAACAAAAAATTGCAGATAGCGGCTTTGGATAAAGCCTCAGTAACTTGTTACAAAGTAACTGTAGCTAAAATCTCAAACAACATAATAAGGATACAAAACTAACAGAAATTAATTCTCGTAGTAACAAAGTAATCGTAGACAAGATCGGTATCGCTAAAATCAAATTTTCGGTAACGACAAAAACAAAGTACGTAGTATCAGGTATAACGAAGCGATATGCATAATTACAACGGTAATTTTTTCAATGAAATCCATATATTAGGGGTATTAGAAGTGGGTATTTGTAAAAAACGGAAAGTCGTGACAAAACGCGTCTGTTGAGGGAGCCAAAACTGGGCGAGTATCTCGAAAACTGGGTGTCGGAACTACTAGTAAATATCACTGAGACTCATCCAAAGGACCGTTGGCAACGGTAGCACATTCGACTGGATTGTATTCCTAGCATGGTACAATAAGACAAGGTGTTAGGTATGCCTATGCGCATGTGTTTGTGACGTCATTCGGATAGCTGGGCTCTACCACTCAATGAAGTAATGGGGTTTGTGTAGTCCTACCACTTAATAAAAGTGTGTCGCCTTTACGGATATAATGAGATTTGTGCAACCTAGTTTCTCACATTAAATTTACAAAGTATCAATTATTGTATGTCATCAACATAAATATTATAGAAAGTAAACAATAAAAATAATTTTCGCGTTTAAAAAGAAATGATGAGACCTCTACCGGCAATATAAGGAACTGAAAAGTCTGATTAAATTTCTGAAATTGTATAGTAAGTGGTACGGTTAGCTTTTCTGTTTTTTCGAATTAAAAAAAAATTGAAATGCACCCAGTGTGATTACTCAACCAACAATTAAACAAAGGTCACCCTAATCTTTTGTCACACAAGATTTGTTAGGATTTAAAATGCGTCTAGTGCAATTTTTCAACTAATTATAATTATAAATCGAGTTTCAAGAAGCATCTGTTAATGCACAATAATCTCAAGAACTTGACATATAATAATAATGACTAAAACGTGCTCAATGATGAAATATAAATATAAAAATATAAAAATCGACCGGGTTTTGGATTTTTGTCAAAATTTTGCACTGTAAGTAGGTACAATTTTTTTGAAATATAGTTGCATTATTATTAGTTTCGACCAGTACCTACCTAGTCTAGGTCCTTAATTACACTGTATTCCCTGAATCACCCTACGGTAAATCTTTTCATCGATACGGGTTATATTACAAGACCGGTTTCCGGTGCCGGTTCATCCCTTGCTCTTTATTCCATCATTTGTTATCAGATGTGTGAGACAATAATTTCATAACTATTTTCCATAGATTCGCTGCTTATTGATTTTCTGTCTGATCTTTACTACCCCTCTTAAGCAGCGTCTACGAATTACGATCAGCATGATTGCTATAGTGTGCATTAAAGAGATACAATAATGAGAGGTAGGTACTTTATATTTTTAATAGCAAGCACAATCTTCTTGCAATTGCTTCATTTGATCGCTTTTGGGGTAGGTATCTAAGTAATACTACTTTTAGCTTGTCAAGGTTCAAACAACCCGTGTTTTAAAAATGTTTTTCAGTTCTCACCAGAGAAAGTTTGATATATTCACCTCCTCAACATCGCAAATAGACCATTATTACCTTTGTTTGCTTTAGATTGCACTTATGTCGGTCACGTAAATATTTGTGTTATCAATGGTCCAGCTGATCGTGGTGTATCAACAGGACAAGTGTGTGTTTGTATAAACAGCGTTAAAATGACAACCCCTGGAAAGAAGGCCTTTCAATTATGCGGTATCATTCTTAGATTCTTACACTAGGGCGGTACCTAATTATTCTAGCGGCACTTTTGGCATTTGAGCTAAGGGATGGCGAAACGGAAAAAATGCAAATGACAATGACGTAAATAACCTACCTGATAACTCTTTTTCTCAGGAACGTTGTTTCAAGTTGATACTTACCTATATACTTATGGTAGAATGGATGATTTCAAACGTATCTCCTTATGGTGTTCTATTTATTTAGAAAGTGTCTTACAACATCGTCCTTCTCTACGTCTACCTTTGGTTAAAAGTCGTAAAAGTGAAATTTGGGATGCAACTGTATAGTACACGTTTTGAGATGTACAGCTGTTTGCAGAACGACAAATTTTTTAACCGTAATTATATATATTATTTAATTAGTTACCCTAATGCCATAAGTCTACTACCAAATGCCAATTTTATGTGAATCAACTCTTCATCTGTAGCCTATTTACCTTGTACAAGTACTTACTTTTAAGTGAAATATATCTAACTTGTCATAATACTCACTTGCATAGATATATAGGTCACAAGCACCCTCGGTGTGCATACAATCCTACATTGATTGAACGTTGGATTTGAATATTATTTTCTAACGCTTTCCTCCGTTCAAATACGAGACTTTTCTAATATTGGTTGGTTTACACCGATGTAAATTTGTTGATGTGTGTGCTGCATTTATTGAAACTTCAGGAAAAAACACTAAACTATGTAAATATAACATTTATTGTATTTTTCCAGATACATACCATGAGTTGTGATAAATAATATTAAGTATTAAATTATATTATTAGTACAATTATACATACATAGATTTTATTGTTTTGTCAGAATGCAATGTAATGATTCGAGCGATAATGAGCAACAGTTCAGATTCACATGATACAGAAGACATAAGGAACATCACGATAACCAAACCATTAAGTATTACAAATTTTAGATAAAAACGTTATTGACAATTCGGCTATGTATTTTTTCCTATTCCTACATTATATTTACAAATTCTAAACATTCAATTTATCAGCCGAAATTTACATCTCAGTTAACTGTGGTAGTATGTTATTATTTATTGTATAAACAACGTTGTTATTATTATTATTAGTAATAAACACTATTATCACACACAAATTCATGCGATAATTATGTTACTTTATCGTTAAAACTTTGTACAGAAAATACAATCGCACCTCATTTATAAACAGGACGTGTTTAAAATACATATTTTTAGAATGTAGAGCTAGAAAACAAGCCCAACTGACTGTAGTGCAATTTTTTTGGATTGTCTTTGCCTAAAATTTAGCTTAATATAGCTGACTGTGTTAATCTACGTTAAGGGGTTGAATTTGACTGCAGGGAATAAACCCTGAGTAGTTTAATCACGAACAGAATGTTCCGTCGTACAAGTTTTAGACAACTTGGGCTCTTCAGTTCACGTTATTCATAAGATTAGTGTCTTTTTCTACCAATTAAAGTAACCTCTATTACACGAACGCGCCGAACCGCACCATTTTGTTTCCATAAGCGGTGGACACAGTTGACCACCCCGTCTGGCGTGTTTAATAACTTCTCTGCGACGCGTCATCTCTCCAATTCCGCACGATTTACTGCATGCACTCCACGGCGACCAATCACTTACCCTACAGTCACGAGGTGGTCCTGAAAATTCAATATAGAAATGAAAGAGACTTCATTAATAACAACCCCTTCAGAAATATATTAACACTTACGTATCTTTTTAATATTTTTTCTTGGTTTTCTGTATTTCTTGTGATGCTTTTCTTTCGGATGCGTTCGATACGAATCTGCTATACTGTTCATAATGGCGTTTTTATCTCCCCGTGGCATCACTGCAGGAACTGCCGCTAACGTTACTGGAACTGGGGCGCCTGCTTGATCGCTTAAATAACGTATGTTTCTTGTTAGAGGATTATCGGGAGAGATTGTAAATTTATGTAATACGGAAAGTGTCAGCGCTACATTCGTGTATTTATTCAGTACTGCTACATCTTACTTCAATATACAATAAAGACAATGGATTTAATCACCGAAATTATATGTATTTATAACAGATAGTTATAATAAGTATCTTAAAATAGATAGTCAGGAAACTAACTCATCTAACAGGGTAAAAAGTATGAAGAATTAGGGATGCCGATCCAAAATATCTATAGATGAAATTCGTGTATCGATTTACATTTATAATTTTTACCATGAAAGGGTAAATATTTGTGTAATTAGTTTTTTCAATTTTCATGAAACTATCGTTATTAATCCCGGTAAAGACATTAAACTGCCGATCAAGAGATGAAGACATTGTATGGTAACCTAATTTTAATTACGTGATTTATTTATTTACAATTAATTATTAGAGAATTTATAACGGTTCTTGAATAGACTGATTTATAACAGTTAATTATTATTCATCACTTACTTACGACATTCACATTTATACCACGGGCGCGAATTTCACTATTTATCACTTCGGCATCGAAGTTGAATCCGAAATTAAACACAATTAATTTTGTTTATGTGGCAAACAAAAACCTTCTAGAGAAGTCTTGAATCACATTATCATATTTGATGGAAAGTATCCGTTTTCATTCCATATCGTCTGTGTCTAATCCTTTATCGACTTGATGGCGCCTTTATTAATTAAATTTTTTAAATTTTAATTGCAAAGAATGATTATAGCTTCCTTTTGATACAGTATAATCCATTAAGGTCCCGCTCTACACGCTTATATTGACCTGCAAAGTTTCCGCGGTAAATGTATGTTTTATGTTTAATGATACTTAGAATGCCATTACAACATAATTAATTTATTATGTACTGCTAAGTTTGATAGTATACATTTGGTTAGTAAATTGAATTACATTTAGGGATTGATAATAACTATAAATAAAAATTTGTTTTGCGTATTTGTTTACCGATCTGATAATTTTCCTATTTTCAATAATGCGAGTGGCACACCGCAGTTGATTTTAATTTTAATTAAATTAAATCTGCGAAGCAGATAACCAACCAAAAAGCTAATTAAAAGAAACAAATCAAATTATGCGAATAAATCCGCCAATCAAATCCATATAGGAAATAATCACTTCGCTTGGCCCGATTCCTAGAATTTTAATTAAATCGCGTACCAGAATTAATTAATTGATCGAAACCGCAAAAATAATTCATCAATCCAAGCGCGAATCCGCGAATTAATTCCTCGAAACCGCCAAACTAATCAAACAATTAGAGTGCGGATTCGCAGATCAAACTGCCAATTAAAGACAACATGCGAATCAAATTAAAAACGCGAATAATTCCGATTTATGTAATTGGACAACTGTAAATTAGTGTAATTCCCAGTTACAACTGTAAATTAGCATAATTCCCAGTTACAACTGTAAATTAGTGTAATTCCCAATTACAACTGTAAATTATAAACTAATTCCCAGTTACAACTGTAATTTACAAAATAATTTCCTATGTATCCTATCCAGAGCTTCGTACCAATTAAATTAAAATTTCAAAGATTTTATCAATTTAATTTAATGACATTTGCGTACTAAATCGCGAAACCGCGATTAAATCCGCTAATCTAACCGCGAATTAAATTAATACGCGAATCAAATGCAAGATAGCTTTTCCTTACCCACGTAAAGCTGTATACGGTAGTAGCACAAGCATGCCTTTGTGCCCACCTGTATCAGGGGGTTAACCTCCCGCAGTTCAAAATCTTCTTCACACTTCTTCCCTAAGACATGGTTGTGTATCAAATTTGAGCTCATATGTCAAATGGGTTTTGAGTTATTGTTCTAGGTAGGTACTTAATACGTTTTTCTAGCGACATATAGGGTGTCCAAGTTTCGATGCCTCGATAGGAAAACTTTTTTATCCGTAGGAACACTGGGAAATGGTTTTCACGTTTTACACCTCCTTTTCCAAGTTCAAGAAGCTTCGATTAGGCTTGGTCGTTTTGGTCTATCTCAAATAGTAGGTAACACGGAAACAATAAAATTCGTTTTTTCAAGATAGGTACTTCACTTATTTTTAAAAACATATTTTTGTTTGTTTGTTTAATGCCAGAAAAAGGAAATGTGAAGTTATCCCAGCCAATGCATTTTGAATTAGAGGGTACCAGAGTGATCGTTGATTATGTTGTTGTCTTGTTCTATATGATAGTGGGTTGAAGGAGGCGTAGTCAAGAACTGGAGCAAAAGAAGACGCGGTAACTGTCGAAGACGCCATAAAAGCGTAAATAATGAACGAGCTAATGACTTATAAAAGGGACGCCGGACGTACAAGAAGAAGAAGAAGAAATAGTATGAATGATACAACGTAGCGCAAAGGAAGGAGATATGACCAAAGCAGGTGGGGAGGAAGCGGGCGTAAATGAGTCGTGAAGCACAATGAGCTTAATGTAGAGGTGGAGAGAAAACAGTAAAGGAACCGCGAAGAAGACATGCTGTTAAAGGAACGCAAAACAGGGCCAAAAAAGAAATCTCCGCGGAAGAAGACGCATTGATGGGAAGAATTAAATCAAACAGTATGAAGAAGATGCGAAACGAAAGGAGGAAAATGAAAATTGAGTGGAACGATGGGCGCGCGAAGAAAAAAGACGTGGATAAGAAATGACAGATGAAAGGTGGAACGAGGTTTAAAGGAAGGTGCGATAAAGCGACAGGACCATGAACGTAAGAATGGTCGGAGAAGAAACTTTATGCTCAAAGAAAACAAGTAACACATGACAAAAAAGAAAGAATGCATGAAGTAGATGTGAATGAACGACGTCTGAAAAAAACGTGAAAGGAGGGTGAAGTAGACATGATGAAGATGGAGGATTAAAAGCGTTTTTTATGAATTAAGTAATCAGTACTTCCCAAGAGGCCATAGCTATGTGCGATATGTTTTTCTTTACTAGAAGCATCTATGGTTAAAATTTCAAAGAAATATCTTCATAAATAAGGAAGTTGGCACTGACTGCGCATGCGCTCATCTAATGTTTGCAATATCAGATATGTTTGCCTTTAACAGAAGCTTCGATAAATAATAATAATAATAATAATAATAATTTTTATTTCATGTGCAGGCAGTACAAAAAGAGCTTACAATCGTCATATGGAAAATGAACACAACATATTTATATACATTTATAAAGATATAAGACAGTTGATATTGCGCATCTTGCGCATGCACACATTAATCTGATGTTTACAATATGCGATATGTTTGCTTTTACAAAAATCATCTTTGGTTAAAATTTCAAAGAAATATCTCCATAAATAAGAAAGTTGGTATTATTAAGTTTGCGCATGCGCACATGTGATTTTTACTGTGTGCCATATACCTTCCCTTCGATTCGGTATGTATCGCTGGCACCTCAACCAAGAACGGTTAATGTGCGCATACACAGTGTGCGCAATGTCAACTTTCGTATTTATAGAGATATTTCTTTAAAATTTTAAGTACATATGCTTCTAGTAAAGCATATCGCATATTCTAAAAATCAAACATGCGCATACACAAACTGCGCAATGTCAACTTTCTTATTTATGGAGATATTTCTTTAAACTTTTAACCACAGATGCTTCTAATAAAGCAAGCATATTACATGCTGTAAAAATAAGACGCGCGCATTGCACACATAAACACATAGTCCGTTATAAGAATTTTCGGGAAGTACTGATCAATTCACGGAAATGCGCTAGGGTTACTCGCCTTAAGGCGAAAACGTTATTTTTCATTTTTTATGTAAACATCCATGAATAACTATTTTGTAAAAATCCAATGTGATGTCCATAATAAATAAGAAAGTAGTTGACTGTAACTTCTATATCTAGCGCGTTATGGAAATTCTGATAACAGACCCAAAAAGAGAAGCGTCCATTTCCGATCGTTTAAGCTATGGAAAATTGAATTGAAATTTGACATTTTCAATTTTTCGGTGATATCTCAGTTATTCTCAAAGATTTTTCAAACGCGTTTTTTTAGTCACACAAAGAGGCAACTTTTCCCTCATCAACGAGTTCCTATTCGAAATATACAATATGCGGTGTATTCTGCCACGGTTGAACTACGTCTACTCTATTCTTCTGCTAATTGCATGAATTTGTGTATTTCTCCTATTATTTAGCAACAGATATCAGCTCCATCGCACACTGACTGCAACTTCTTGAACCAAGAAGGATGACCTACACTGCAGCGGGTGCGGGTGTAGAATAGACGACGGGTGGGTACGTTGGTACCCTCATCTCTCTGTGAGTGACTTAATTAATTGCCGATGATAGCAGATAAGCAAATTTATTTGCATGGGGGCCCTTATTGATCGAGGTGACTAGTCGAGTCCACTAGAGCATTGAATAAAAATAGAGCGACACCTCGATATAGATGAGTTACGTTACGTAATGGGTGGTAATGGGCGGATTTACAGTACATTTGTCGCAAATTAATAATTGATATCTGATCGATAATGCCCTCCCTATTAGTTAATTACCGACTAAACTTTACAACAGGTTATCAAATCAAACCGAAGTTCCAATTTGCGTGAAAGGTCAATACTTTTTTTAGTATCACATATCAAATTCGTAGGGTAATCGATTTCATACACATCAAACATGGCGCATTTCACGAATGCCGTAATTATAACTAAAGTGATACAACTGTAACCACTACCAAATTAATTTAAATTTGTAACTGAAATTACCAATGCGAGGGAGGTTTATACCTGCAAACTCGGCGTTGTTAGCATTGTGTTCATGACTATATAATCGTTATATTTCCTCCTCCTGATAATCATTTTGTAAACAGAGTTGTTTGTAGAAGCACGATCCCTTTGTTGTATATAGACGTAAGTTAATTTAACATCAGTTTCATTTAAACTGCCATAGGATGTATTAAATTGGGTTACCTTGTAACGCTGACACGTCTCTTAATAAAGGTGTGTTCATTTACTGAAAATAAAAGAAAGTGTACTTACATTGTGTTCAGATACCTATCGTTGGTAAGGTTCTTTGGATAAATAACACTATTTATTGTAGACGTCGATGTTGAAGGCATAAATTGTTGCAGACGAGGGTTGGTGTGGGGTCGTTTGTGCACTTCTTGCTCCTCTCTTTCTTCCTCTATCGCGGTTTCGATATCGTTGTTTCCATTCATTATGTTTATACTGTTCTGTGTCATGTGTTCGATTTTTAAAACTTCGTATTTCTGATCGTCTTCTTCGTGATGAAAAACTTCGCTGAGTTCGTATTCTTTAATCTTAAGCAAAGAGAGAAAGAGAAATTATACAAAAATGTTAATTTCATTTTTGCGCGTTACCTTCAGAAATTGAAATATAGCGATAGGCGGAAGACGTTTAAGATATGGATAAAAAAACGATCCTGCCGGGTGAGCGGGATAGTGAGCGGTAATCCGATATGCCACCCCCTGGGGTTCGGTTGGCCAGTTAGGTGCGGTAAATGTAAACCCATTATCCGTCCCGGCGTCGATAGGATCCACCTGAAGAAACCTCATATAGGCACACGGTAGCTAAATCGCTTTATTTCTTACCTCGATAGTGATGCTGTCTAACCAATTACCGTTTACGCATAGATTGAAAGCGTCGATCCCAATGAACCAATCTGGGGAAGGTACTATGCGGGACATAAGGGAAACCTACGATATCCCATACATGTTAATTAATTAAGCATATTACTATACGCGAGTTGTAATTTTATTGTTAACGCCTTGAAAATTTAGTAAGATTACGTAGAGAATTTGTTTAGAAAATCAAAATTACAGGAAAGGAAAGCAAGTGTCTGCGTATGAACTCCCTTGCTGGTACTAATTTTGATGAAACAACATAATTAGCTACTTATGTTGATAGTTTAGTAAGTGAACACATAAAATTAGTAGTAAAATTAAGTAATGTTGAGTAACTCACAATAGAAAGGAAATAAAAGTTACTAATACGTGCAGTCAGAGATATATGTATAAGTAGTATACGCTTAATTCCAATGGCAATGGTAGTATTCTACGCGTCACTATGTGAGGATGTAAATTAGGTACGAAGTACAGGAGTACTTAATTTTAACTAAAACGTCCTAAATGTAGCCGACTAAACAGAGTGATTCACAAGAACCGGGAATCACTTATGCTATAGTTTTCAAACTTTGCGTGCTTCCATTTCCCAAAATTTTCAAATGAACTAAAAATGTATATATAAAATAATATTATGTTAAAAACGGCTTCACCTAATATTTTCAAAGTAACATTGTGTTTTATGTTGCAGTTTCTGGTTCCCCTTCTCATTTTGAGTGACATTAAATAAAATTGGCGGTATCTCGTAAACTTTGTGCAACCATTATCCTATCATTATACACGGTGTCCATTTTTGGAGTGCCACTATGGGGATCTCACTTATCTTAAGAGATAGAAAGTTGGTTAAATGGGGGCAAAGTTGCCAATTTTCGTGCCGTAAGAATCTGAAAAGAAATTTGAAATATCTTCAATAGTTTTTAAATCGAAAATTTCTGATTTTCGTTTTTAATTTTTTTATGATAAACTAATCGTAGTAGACATTTCTATATAACACATTATTCGGACACTTTTTAATGGAGATTTCAAATATGGTATCCTGTTTTTAATAACTTTCAAGATGACGGAGAAACACGTGGAAACTTTAGTTTTTCTTATGGGTGCCATTTTGAATTTCCACATTTTGAGATAACGTCTTTTTTCTCTTTACAACGATATATCACACATGGTGGTTCAGTATCAAGGTTAGTATATTACAGGTTGCCTCGTAACTGCAATAATGGGGATCAAGTCGTCTGCTCGTGACGTCACTGGTAGCCACTCAAATTTCGTTATCTTGTCATTACCGCTTATGTCACATCTTATGTCACAGATGTGACATACGCGTAAGGTTATAAATATTGAACCTCCTGTAATACCTGTGCATTCAGAACCTAGAAATATTATTAAAAGGGTCGTGGAATTCTTTGACACAGAACAGAAAACTGCCAGTATGTGGACATTTCCTTTGGAAAAGGCTACAGAGCTAGCTGCTGCTGTGACGGTAAATCAATAAAACTCATAACTAAATTAGGTAATGTTAATTTCAATGATGTTCTTTTGAAATAAATACTTATTGTTATTCTGTAGAAGCGAAGCCAAACTTACCGAGGATAGGACATTGAAATCTCCTTCAAAGAAACAGCAAAATGGGGGTTCCAACAAAATAACATTGGATAATTCTGATTTAGGCGTCTTGAAGGGTGAAATTTATATGATCGGTAAAAAAGTCCCTACGATCATTAGTTTAGTTAATAAAATGAAGGGAAAAATTGGCCTACATTGGGAAACACCAAGATATTTATTAAAAATTGGCTTTAAATACAAAAAAAATGCCAAAAGAAACGACAATTATTGATGGAACGTGGCGACATTGTTGATTGGCGGTTACGATATTTACGGAGAATGAAAGAAAATGATGCTTTAGGGAAAAATAAGACACCGGTCAAATTTTTTGACGGAACCATCTTATTTAGTGCTTGCCGGCGGGCAGAAGATGAACGTGACCACGCGATGGATTGTTAGATGAAGCTGTTTATCTTTCACGGTAAACACTGGTACGTCAGATGAAGATTGACTGTATTATACGACGATTTATAATTACTAAATTTATAATATAAAACTGAATATTTGTGTTTCATTAGTTAAACGATTCAAACATCATGAAAGAACTGTAAACAATAGCTACGCATCAAACCGTATCAAATTTTCTAGCTGTGTGGCTGCATGCATTTATTACTTCGTTTAAATCGTGGGATACCAGTGACGTATTCGCGCCTCGATTGCTATTGGTCGATAGTTACGAGGCAACCTGTAATATACCAACCTTGG